CCATCCGAGTACGATGGGCCTTGATACATGGAGAGTATGATTGGAGCTGGCAACACCGGACGGTTCGGGTTTCAAGGCAGTGATGATGTGGCATCGGCGACCTGGCTAGTCCGACGCGCCCGCTCCCGCACAGTATGAGTGATCAGAAAGCCAAGTCGGAGTATGCAAAGATACTCGGCCAAGGGCGGTCATCCAGTGAGCTGCCCGAGCAGGAGGGAACCTGTGGGAGCCTATAGCGAGTTGCATAAATAAATGAGGACGTGAATGGTACATATTGTCACCTTGCTCTGATCAAAGCCCCTTCACCCCGCTTTACTAGACCGTAGACCGTGTTCGTCATCGACGTTATGACAGACAGGAGCGGGGAGTTCGTGTCCCTAGATCGTGATCGAATGCCACTGGACGAGAAGCTGTACCGCTTGTCTGAGGACGACGTCGCATTTTTGAAGTTGCACACGGGTATACGGGATGACGACGAATTGAAGCAGCATGTCTTGGAAGTCCAGGCGGATGCATACCAGGTGGGCATGGAGACCGGTGATTATCATGAGCATGTTACTCACACAATTGTGTTCGTGAAGGTGTATCCGTACCCCTGTATCCGTTATTTCATGTTTACACAGTAAGCTCCAACCGGACGTGCTTGCGAGACAAATGGGAGCTTACGTTTCATGCAGCACGGGTATCGCCCGACACTTTGCCTACGGACAGTTTCTGAATCTGGGACGTGAGAGGCCGGACGAAATATTCCTCGAGCTTCCTGTGCATGTTAGTGCATTATTCAATCCTCGTCCGTCCATTAACCAACTGGCGATAAGTCGGCAACGACGTACGAAAGGCTGTCTCTGACGGGTTCCCGCAACAAAACTGTGTTGCTGCCGACCTCGAGCGAAGTAGGCCACCCGAATCTCGGAAGACCAGATCTCTTGCTGACTCTGGGCGTCTCTACAGAGTACTGGGAGCTCGGCCATCGTCTCTTCAAGAGCACCCCAGAATCATTTCCCGTCGCATTCGTCCCGGGCGACATCTTCGACCAAGATTACCTCGCGTCGAGCGTTCAGCCCGTCTACGCACAGCCAAACTCTCCGGCACCCGCGCTCTCCGGCCTTGCGAGCCTGACGCCGCTGCGTGGCCACGTATCAGCAATCCATGGATCGCTCTTCTTCCATCTCTTCGACGAGGAGAAACAACTCACGCTTGCGCAGCGCTTCGCCAGCCTGCTCTCCCCCCTTCCTGGCTCGATGATCTTCGGCCGTCATCACAGCGCCGATGTCAAAGGCGTGAGGGACTTCCCGGTGCCGGATGGAGACAAACATCAAATGTGATTCAGGTGTTCTGCCACTCACCGCAGACGTGGATGGCGTTGTGGAACGGGAAGGTATTCAAGGAGGGCACGGTGGAGGTCAAGGTAGAGCTCCAGGAAGAGCCCGTTAGTGCGATGGCACCGCCGGAGCGGAAACTCTACGTGATGGTCTGGTCGGTGACGAGATTGTGACCGTGGCACTAAATAATATCAACAGCCTGTACACAGTACAGAGCTGTTGCCTTCGGGGAGGCTTCTACAGCATTGAGAACATCTCTTGTCATGAGTCATGACATTCAACGGACTTGCGGGAGGAAGCCTACTTATGAATACGGCAGTCTGGTGGATGCGTCCACGATCACTGCAAGCATCTGGCGCATTGATAACACTGACGGGTTTGAGGAGTGCTACAACACCGCATGCGCGATTTTGAACGCCACGCTCGAAGTCGGAGCTTGAGATACTGCTTGTCTGACCGAAGCTTTACTTACCAGCATGCCTGATAGATCACAAATTCGTGTCTGAAATCAAACTATACCTTCACCGACGAGTCAGAACGCTCGAGGAGGTATGTATGCTGCAATTCGCGCTCTGAGTCTGTAGACACGAGCGACGACGCGGCGCGTCGCGAGCGCCTCGTGGCTTCGGTCGGTCACGCATGCGACGCGAGATGACTTGCCCTAAATGTAACGCGTCTCCGTGTCTGCCCAATGTCTGCCCAGGACCCCATTCAAAGATTCACTTCTGGAGGGCTTGATTGCTGCTGTGCTTGAGACTTGCCTGTAACCACTCAAACCAACCATGATCAACACACGAGCCAGGCCGCTCATACGGGAGAAATAATGGCGGTTGGACATGCAACACGCATTCACTACCAGCCTGTGGTGCGCGTACTCAGACCAACACTGCTGGCGATGTGCTGCCGTCGGATCAGAAAGCAGACGCATTGAAGGCGACATCGTCCTCTGAGCGTGTTTAGAACTGTGATATGGCTTCTCGTAGACTGCACAAAAAAGTACGTATCCGGTACGATGTCGTACATAACATAATTTAGGACTAACTGTTCAGCCTCGCACACCTGTTGCACCACTTGGCACTTGGATTCCGACGCGCGGATCACATACTTGAAGTCCATAAAAACGTTTTTACCACGTCTATTCGCCGCATCTCAATCTTGAGTGACGCATTCAGAGATTCGAGGAATACATGAAGGCCCCAAAGCACCTGCAAACTGATCATCGTCTCCCGAGAGTAAGTGGATACGATCAGTAATCTGAGGGACTCTACACAAGGTGAGTGGGGTGCATGAAAAAACTGATTGCTCGCTAGGTTGAATTCGGGTACGACTTCTCACAAGTTGACCGGCTGGACATATATCCGTTCGGCCATCCTCGCGGGTTGTGTGCAGGAGCAACATGTGAGTTTGTCCGATGATAGGTTCTCTTCCGGATGGAACGAGCGGAGGGGAGGATGCTTTGGCTTCCCGCCACGCTCACAATTTGACTCACAGACAGCCAGGATAATCGCCTAAGCCTGTCGTCAGCTCGAAGCTAGACTTCTTACGAGGCTGCGCCGGCTACTTGTGCATCTAACAGGCGGACGAACAGATTGGCAGGAGTGCGTAAGGATATCCGGCGCAAGGGAGGCCAGCTGGCCAGCACTAGCGGGAGACGAACAATCTACGAGGCTAGAGATAAATACGAGCGATCGTGCAACAATCACATCCCGCCTGCGGAACTGGTCTGCATTCTTCTTTCGTCTTGCGCACTGATCATCCTCCCTGCCTTGGCTATATTGGACCATTTCACTTGCGGACCCAGACATCATGGCTACAGACAGAAGCAGAGAATTTGCCTCAATCGCTCGAATGCCATTGGACGAGAGTCTATACGACTTGCGCGAAGACGATATCTCGTTCTTGAAGGCGCATACCGGCATAGACAACGACAATGAACTGAAAGAGCACGTCATGAAGATTCAGGTGGACGCGTATCAGGTATGTGCCCAAAATCGCCTCCTGACGAAACACCGATGTATCGCTTTTATAATTCATGCACAGGTATATCCATACCCATGCATCCGCTATTTCTGGTTCGCACAGTACGTTGTGATTGTTCCTATTCATGAGGTAATCGGGTACTGACTCATCTGGCAGTACGGACATATCCCTTCAATCTGCCTACGCGCAACTCTTGAAGTTAGGACAGGACAGGCCAGGCGCGATATTCCTCGAGATCCCCTGTGCATGTGAGTGTGTCAGTGTCCTTTCCTCGATGCGGGATTTATAACGCGGTGAACAGTCGGCAACGACCTCAGAAAGGCTATATACGATGGCTTCCCGCAACAAGACTGTGTCGCCGCAGACCTCGAGCAAAGTAAGCTACTCATGCTTGACGGACGCCTACTACTAGCAATCTGACATATGTTCGTAGCGTACTGGCAACTCGGCCATCGGCTCTTCAAGAGCACCACAGAATCGTTTCCCGTGCCGTTCGTTCCTGGCGACATCTTCGATGTCAACTATCTCGCGAGCGCGCCACCATTTTACGTGCCGCCTGCTAGCCCGGCACCCGCGCTCTCAAACCTCACAAACCTCACGCCGCTGCAAGGGCACGTCTCAGCGATTCACGCAGCGATGTTCTTCCATCTGTTCGACGAGGAAAAACAGCTCATCCTTGCGCAGCGCTTCGCCAGCCTGCTCTCACCCGTTCCCGGTTCGCTGATCTTTGGTCGCCATTACAGCGCGGATGTCAAGGGTGCGAGGGTTGGAATTCCAGCTGGGGAGGGTACACCGGGTGTGAGCCGACTGTACTGTCATTCGCCGGAGTCATGGACCGCGCTTTGGAACGGCGGGGTGTTCAAGGAGGGAACGGTGAAGGTCGAGGTAGAGCTCAAGGAAACGCAGTGGGAGGCTTATGTGAATGCCCCGCCGGAGCGAAAGTTGTACATTATGCTGTGGTCGGTGACAAGAATTTAGGTCCAGGCACAGCCTGAGTAGTAGATCAAAGGATGTGTCGTCCACGATATGATCGAGTGAAGTAGACGTTGCGGCCACACCAGGTGCCGGATAGTACTGTAGCAGGGAATGGCTTAGCGAAAACCTTGCGCCGTGCATGACAAGTAAAAACAAACATCTACCTAATGGACATAAGTACTAGTACTGCCAGTACCTGAGAACACATGTAATCATTGTTGTGGCGTTGAACATTGCGAAGCGGACTCGGAGTCACGTCTTGTTACGAGGCAAGAGGGCCGGCGGCTCAGACTCTCCTCGGCCGGCCGTAGCGGCACGTCTGCTCTATGTACGTTTCCTGCCCTACGTACGGTCACAATTGTACTTTTATGGCCAACCTGCCTATGCACACTCACAAAATCCTGCAGTTCAAACGTTCAAGGCCGATCTAGTGGTACATGGCGGTGCTTGTTACGCTGTTTGCTGATCAAATGAAGCCACGAATCTGACTCGGAGGGCCCTAGGGTCACTCCGATCCATATCTCGTATCTCCATTCGTTCCGCGCGTGAGCATCGAGAGATAATTCTACACGGGCGACTTACACTGCTACATGCGACTATTAGAGCTAGGAAATCAATGCCGTCGACAAGCATCTGATCGGCTGCAGGCTTCGGAATGCAGACCTGGTTCAACGAGGAACGCTCGCAGGAGATAGCACATACTACAGATCTAACAAACTGACTACTTGTTCGCTGGGTCAACGCTAGGTCAATCTTGGTCTTGATCTCCCACAGATTAGCCCGGCTGGACGTACACCTACTCAGTCCTCCCTGCATTCTAGGACTATCGGAAACGCCACTGGAATGGGTGGTCACCTGGCAATTCGCCCAGCGACCAAATACGCAGACCCTACGTTGACAGGTGTACATATACGTGAGTAGCAGCACGCTCGAATACATCAACATACAAGGCTCCTCGGGCGCATTCCACCTCCTTCACGACTGCAGACTAACCTGCAGTCTGTCTTGAACACAGGAAATCGCAGTCAAGGCAGGGTTGTCGACGAAATGGCAGACAGGAGCGACACATTCGTCTCCTTCGATCCTGAGGAAATGCCGCTGGACGAAAAGCTATATCATTCGCATGTACGCGAACACGACAGTGCGTTCTTGAAGAAGCACACCGGGATCCAGGACGACGAGGAGCTCAGAAGACATGCCATGCAGATCCAAGCGGATGCGTACCGGGTTGTTAAAGATAGATGATCATTGCCAATGCTCAGCTCATCTGGCTCTGTTCGTATAGGTATATCCATACCCATGCATCCGCTATTTCTGGTTTATACAGTAAGTAACGCTTGTGTATATACTCACCAAGCAATGAGGACTCACTAGCATTCTTCGGGCAGCACGGACATCACCCTACAGCCCGCCTATGCACAGCTGCTGAAGTTAGGACAGAAGAGGCCAGGCGCAATATTCCTCGAGATTCCCTGTGCATGTCAGTGCATTGCCGCTTCCTCGTCCACACGCTAACTGAATGGAAGTCAGTCGGCAACGATATCAGGAAAGTCATAGATGGTGGCTTCCCGCAAGAGAACTGTGTCACCGCAGACCTAGAACCATGTGAGTCACCAATACGTCGAGGACATCGCTGCCAGCATGCTGACATCCTTCACAGCGTACTGGGCGCTCGGTCACCGTCTCTTCAAGAGCACTCCAGAGTCGTTCCCCGTGCCGTTCGTCCCTGGCGACATCTTCGATGCCAACTACCTCGCGAGCGCACCGCCATTCTACGCGCCGCTCTCCACGCCAGCACCCGCGCTCCCGAGCCTGATCACCCTCACCCCGCTACAAGGCCGCGTATCAGCGATTAACGCAGCGATGTTCTTCCACCTTTTTGACGAGGCAAAGCAGCTCGCGCTCGCACAGCGCCTCGCAAGTCTGCTCTCGCCTCTCCCCGGCACGCTGATCCTTGGCCTCCATTACAGCGCGGACGTCAAGGGCGTGCGGGATTCGCAACCTGGCGGGGATGACACCCCGGATGTGATTCGGGTGTTCTGCCACTCACCGAAGTCGTGGGCCGCGCTGTGGGATGGCGGGGTGTTCACAAAGGGCACGGTAAAGGCCGAGGCGGAGCTCCGAGACGTCCCTATCTATGCGACGGCGCCACCGCAGGGAAAGCTGTGGCTGATGGTCTGGTCGGTGACGAGGCTGTAAGCCCACAATTACAGCTGTTTCCAAAACAATAGGCCCCACATCAAAAAACCGCACTCAGGCGGAGTGTGTCGGTTCCCCAGTTCCCATCAAGATTGGCCCATAACCGGCACGTCGAGGGCGAGCCAGACTACGGCGGGTGGCTGAGGTCGACCGGCAGAAGGTGCGGATCACCTCGTACTACGTCGGCGAGGCGAGCTGAGCGGACTTGATCACCCGCAAAGTTTGTCTCTGCGGCGAGCGGTAGAGTCTATTGTTTCCTCCGTTCCAGTAGCAGCGTTCACTCACGACCCGTTCCTACAGTCATCTTCGTACTAACTCAGCTCACACGTAAGTACGTTGCCCATCTTCAGGCCCTTTAGGTGAGTGTTTCATTGTTCCGGTATCCGTTCCTCGTGGTCGCTAACTGGGGATCTAGGTCGCTTCGGCATCAACGCAACATCGACACCGACTCGTATCGAAGGAGGGGAGAAGGCGTCAGATGCGGGGAATGTCTGCACCGAGAACTGGCCACTCTCGGGACGGATACTTTCTCGCGGACGGCGACCTGGAGACAGGGCGTTCACACCAGAATCCCGAAGATGAGTACCAATCCTAGATATGAACACGCCAGATCTGTGGTGACTAACCATAGCATATCAGGTTCCTGCTTTTGTATGCCTACTTGTACTGTCTCGATCTGGGTCATGCGGCGCACCTGTGTGCAAATCCCGGTCGCGTCGCATCAATTACCACCGGTCTATCAAGCCCCTCCGACTCGCAGACAGCAATTTCTCGAGATCCATCTCAAGTTTCCACGACGCGAAGAAGGGAGACATCAACGGGTTCAGTGAAGAATGTGGACTCGGAGAGAGGAATCACCCGGTCGCTGCAAGCGAGATCTGCTTGTGCTTCCGACGTCTGTGAGATACAGTGATAGTGCAAGGTGTACATGATCGCATATAAATTTTTGAATCCGCATTAATCCCACCTGATTGGCAACGTCAACTTGAACAGTGAGGGGTTATTGAAGTACGTACGTTTAACACAGTCGAATGGCTGCGCTTTTTGAATGCGCTGAAGCTGGCTGCCTCAGGAGGCATCGTTTGGGGTGTGTAAGCTGCTCAAGAAGCGTCAAACCTGACTCCGCCAGGTTCGCATTGCTATTTAGTCGCGTCAGTACACTAGCACGTGACCGCGTTAGTACAGCCGAAATTCGAAGTTCGACACTTACGCAGGGTGCAGATCGAATTTCCAAACAATAACGAAGTCGGCCACCTCCAAGTAAGTATATGGGGTAGCTTGAACCTGTCCATAACATACTGACTCAGTGGGGCGTCCGGGCTGTGGCAAGAGCCGCAAGACACGTGAAGAAGCAATGGAGATGGGTTTTTTGCGCGGTGGCACTTCTACTACTAACACCGCGTACAACATCAAACTCATCTCGATATTATGCAGTAGCGACGGAAGATCCGCCACTTTCAGAGGCCTGGACGGACATGGCATTGCGGTAGTACCACCGTGGTATGGCCACTCGACTATGAAGAGTCCTGAATTTGCTATGTCCCTGTCCGAGTCTGGAACAGAATCCAATATGCAGTACGTCCGACACAGTAATGGCCACACTTCCCGAGAATTTGGATAACTGTGCTGTGACAAGGCTAACTTCAAGTTCAGGGTCGTCTGCAAAGCCATGTTTGACCTTCGTGCATTCCGATTCACGTGGGTTGCCAGTGAGGCGTGTTTCGACGGGGGTTCCCCCGATGGAAAATCAATGGAGACAGCGTCTTTGTCAAACCGGCCGTCGGTGTCACCGAGGCGTGTAGATGCTAATCTTTCCCTCCGTCAGTATGCCTCAGGTGCATAAATACCGGTGGTCACAGACAGGGCAGTCATTATTCTTCTCAGCATCGAAATGGCGACCACTTACTCTTCCAACGACACTCAGGCCACTCATATCTCCCAGTGCGATCAAGCCCATGCCGGCCACAAGGGAGAATTGCGCGAAGACTTCTTGCAGTTGACCGACGACGAACTCGTTTTCTACAAGCAAATCACGGGAATCAAAGATGATGCTGAATTAATTCAGCACATCGTTCGTATGCAGGCCGAAGCTTACCAGGTGTGTGCTGTGTAGCCGTTGCTGTACATTAGAGGCACACCGACTGACGAACAACAGGTATTCCCATACCCATGCATCCGTTGGTTCGACTTCGTGAGGTATCCAAGTCGACTGGTGCCTCCGCACAACCGTTGAGCATGGAACACTCATCCTTCGTGCTTTAACAGACTTAGGGTGTCTCGCTTCGCGGTGTACTATGACCTGCTGAAGCTCGGAAGAGAAAGGGAGGGTGCTCTCTACCTCGATTTGGGAACATGCTGTGAGTGTGTCTGTGTCGGTGAATCGCCGAATCTGGCGCTAGTTAGTGCTTTGCAGTCGGTACCGCCATCCGCAAACCAGTACTAGACGGTTTTCCCGTCAAGAATTGTATCGGTTCGGATCTTCGAAGAGGTTTGTCTTGCTCTGTCTGTCTTGCATCTTCCGATGTCTTAAGTCGCATTGCCAGAATTCTGGGACATGGGCTACCAGTTGTGCAAGGACTCTCCGGGGGTGTTCCCCGTCCCATTTGTCCAAGGCGACGTGCTCGACCCGTCCTTCCTCAAACCATCGGCGCCGATATATACTCCGCTCGAGAGTTCCAAGTCCAACCCGGAGCTGTCCTCGCTTACCAATCTCACGCCGCTCACTGGCAGGCTCTCCGCGATCCACGCGTCGTACTTCTTCCACCTCTTCAGCGAGGAGAAGCAGCTGCAGATCGCGCAGTCGCTTGCCGGCCTGCTGTCCCCGCTCCCGGGGTCGATGATCTTCGGCCAGCACGTCGCGTATATGACCAAGAGCACGATCATCATTCACCCGACCGGTGAGCCGGTGCCTATGTTCTGCCACTCACCGGAGTCGTGGAAGGAGCTCTGGAACGGGACGGTCTTCAAAAAGGGGAGCGTTAAGGTGGAGGCGGAACTGTCTACGCTCCCCGTTCCCAAAGGTGCTCTGGATCATACTTATTGGCAGCTTGTCTAGTCTGTGACGAGATTGTAGTGAGGTCTCATGTACACGAGTATGTAGTGATGTCGTACCTTAGCAAAGAACAGGTACTGGACATCGAGATGGAGATATAGACGATGGAGATATAGATGAAACACTTACTTCGGCGAGCTGCCAGCTGTGAACCTACAACTCCCTTTCGTCGTCAAAGATATTTACGTTAGGGCCTGCCTCGGGAGAAATAATACTGTCGTGCTGAGCTGGCGTCGGCGTGCCGGGGATACTATGCCAGCGTAGCATCCTTGATGTAAGTTGCCCGATGTGGCTGAATTACTACGCTCGGATCTACGCCAATGCTAGGGCATGAAATTGGTCTGAGTCTCCTCCTGAGCCCGACAGTGATCGTGTGGTAAAGATCGACGTGCCAGTGACTGCACTTGAAGGCCACATAGCCGACATGAGTACGTACGTGTAGTCACGGTAGCGCTGCCGGTGGTGTTATGACTCGTACGCTACGTATTAACACGGTATTATAAGGACTAATGCTAGTTTATCATGCTCAGTCGGTGAGGTGTCGTGTCAAGTAGCCTAAAGTTTTGACCTTACGACGAAATTATACGTAGGTTGAATCTAGCCTGCGCACTCTCAAAGGGACGCTCTGTCCGTCTCCGCCCGGGATGATAGGCCTCGACAACAACCATCCGTTGATGCCAGTTTGAGTGTCTGGTCCATCCGCAAACTCGAACGCGTAGGATCGGACGAGCAAACATAGCACAGCCTTAAAATCACAGCATCAGCCTGTCTTCTTGACCGGACTGTTCATGCGAACAATACGATTGCTCACCTTCGCTTCAGCAAGTGCGTAGTGTCTGCCAAGACATAGTCGCGGGCCACTGACGAACGTCAACAAATGCTTATGTCCTGGGATTTGCTTTGGGATGCCACCCTCCGTCAAGAAGCGCTCTGGCTGGAATTCCTTCGCGTCGGGTCCCCAGAATCTTGGCGAGGTGTTGATAGCTTGAATGGGCACGGTTACGAGTTGGCCCTTCGAGATGAATATACGATCAACAGATGCGCCTGTTGCTGTTTTCACGGGATGAAAAAGGGGGATGATGTCGTTCTCGACAGCCTAGCAGTATCAAGGTCGGTCAGGTGCTTCCGTAGATTATACAATATCCGATACACTCACTACGCGGGTTGTGTCGCCCAACGGCGGATGAAGGCGCAATGTCTCGTGAAGAACGGCGTCAAGATATGGCAGCCCGTCGATGAGCTGCTCCCATGCCGCGTCGCCACTAGGAAGCCGTGAAACTTCTAGACGAAGTTTGTCCTGTATTTCTGGCTTCTTGCAGAGCTCAACGAGGCACCACTGCGTAGCGAGGATATTTTAGCAGCAGACTGCGAGTATAATGGATGCTTGGTGTACCATCAAGCAGTCTATTCGCGGCTTAATCAACCAGGCAGAGATGCAGCAATCACGTGTACTCACTCGACGTGGTTATGTAGCCTGTCACCATCAGGAGCTTCATCTGGGTATCACAACCAAATTTAGGAGTGTCCAGTTTTCAGCGATGTCATGCCTTGACGCACCTGTGCCAGGATCTCCTCCGATGACATACGCAGCTCAGAACTGCTCTTCTCGGCCTTGACTGCAAGACAACTCGTCAGTCACATAGACAACTGTGAGCCGTAGTACGTTACCAATACGCACGCAGCAGTCCCATGATAGACCGATCTCTACTGTTGCATACAATCTGTTTCTCCTCACGTGCCTCTGCGAGTATCTCGTTCACAACGTCGCTCATACCGGCGTCGAATTGGTCACTGATGCGACGAAAGGCTGTAGGGAACCTGAGCACCAATGGGAAGACCAGGCCAAGGATAAATTGAGAACAGCCGGCGAAGTCGGCCTTCATCCCGCTGAAGGCGTCGATGGCGCTCATGACGGTGTTGTGCTCTCCGCGAAGCGTGCCAAAATCGCGCCCGAAGCCTGTGACCCCGAACGTGTCGAAGCTACGGGTCGAACTTGGATCACGGTGTGCTGACCCGAGTCGGGAGGAACGAACTCACGATACACGATTCATCCTACGTCCAGAAGAAGTCTGTACTGTGTTCCAAAACAAATCGAGCGCGGAGTAACTTACCAAGAATGAACATCAACTATAGCCGAGTCACTGCTGGGAGATTGCGCCAATATTATGTTATCCCAGGCCGCTTGCACCT